ACAGTATTGCTGGTTCTATGCTTACTGGACTGGGTTGGGGTGATGGCAAGAACAGCGTTATGTTAAGTTACATAATGTTTGCTAAAGACCAATGAAAACATGGTTCGGGTAATACGTGTCTGAAGGTAAAGTACAAACGGAACAAGGAAGAGCAATGGTCGACGGTAGGTAGAACAAGACGACAATAAGAAAACACAACGGGAAGAGACGAGAACGCGCGTAGACCAACGAATGGGCTTCGCGCGAGAGACGACGTAGCCACAAGGAATAACAAGTACCGTACATGTGGTTCGAAGGCGGTAACGGCCGAACAGCTAAGGCGGCCGCAATGGCAAACAGCAGTGATCCCCTCGAGCCGATGAATACGGTGTTGTTGGCTCTGCACATGTTAGACTCGGCCGACGGGATGGGTGATGGCGAGAACGACACGCAGGACGACGGTGGCACAGATGCGATAAAGGGTTACAAGTACGCAACAAGCGAACGCAGCAAACAAGAGACGTGCAGCAATGGTGAACTGACAGAGTCGTGTTCCACAGGAGGTTACGAGAAATATTAGCCAAAGATATAGACCGTAGACAACGTTTATCGTCGAAACGTCGCAGCCGGCATCACGCGGCGCTGTTGCCTATTACTACGGGTTAACATTGCTTATCACTGACCCACGGTAATAATTTGATAACAGTCTGACAACGTTGCCGCGACCGATATTAAACGACACCTGCGAACCGCAACTGTGCCGATTGCCCATTATTATTGTTATTATTATTACTATAATGATAACGATGAACGGTTAATAAAATTCCACTCACCGTGTAAAGGACGGAATACTCACAATGTCGTCGATTGAATACAATGTGTGCATTTATAATACGTAATCAAATGATAGTATTCGTGTCCGATGGGATATGGATAATCGCATATGACTAAGAAAACATTATAATACAATGTTTATTAATACACTATATAACAGGGATGGGCAACTCAAAGTTACTAGAGGGCCAATTTTTATTATAATCCAGCGGGCCAAAGTCTAGGAAAAAAAAAAGTCATTCAAAATATGAATTTTAATTACCATTTATATACACCGAAATAATAAATTTAACACATACGACAGCACGACACGAATGATACGAAGAATCTGATATAATTCGGTACAAATAGCTATGTTTGAAAGCTATACGTATATATACATATATGATATTTAACAATGTTTAATATCAGATAACAATTATTATATCGATAAGATAGAGTATAGACGATAAACCTTAAAATTGTACGATGTAATAATATGATCAAAATATAGCACCGGCTAGATATAAAAGGCTCGCAGGCCGCCAGTTGCCCATCCCTGCTATACAAGAGCAAAATGTAAAGGTGGGTACACTCTGGAGCGTTTACGTGAAATGGGTATGGGTATGAATTTAAGATGAAATGGAAAAATATTTTGACTATTTTTGACCCTAAAAAATCCCGAAATGTTTTGTTAACCATTTATGGCACAAAGCGCACAAAAATTATGTATGTGCCATATTTGGACTTCATGCATTAAATTACTCAACAGTTTTATGCGCAATTTATGGAACATACTAGTATAGTATAGTATATAGTATACAGTTATAAAACAAAACTAAAATTAATATAACTAAACAATATCATATTTATTTAATCATTTATTTATTTGTGTATCACATTTTTCTGTTTTCATATAAGTCTTTGATTTTTAGCAACATTATTTACATACTAAATTAAATTAAGTATACAAATACAAATTTGTAGTAAACAATACAATGAAAAAAAAAAACAACAAACAAAAACTAAAACCAAAATTTTATTTTATTTATATGAACCATCATCTTTTGATGCAGAACTATATTCAATTTTGTCTGGAATGTTCATTTTATTACGAATCAATTTTTGTTCATAAAAAAAAAATCCTACATTTTGTGCATGAAGTGCCAAATATGGCCAAATTATCTGAGTCTCTATCGAGTGTAGAGCCATACATACACATACACAGCACATATTCACAGGTAAAAAAGTTTTGTTATTAATAAATAAACAAGAGCAAAATGTGACAATTCTGCATAAAATACTATTATTTATCGCTAGACAGAAGTATCTTAGATTACTAATTAGGGTATTAGATAAGTATCTTACTCGTTTAAAAAGTGCAATACAACATTGATTATACATTACCTTTGCTTGTCACTATCGCACGTCCGCTCGTACGTACTTACTACCATTCTAACTCAGGAGTCACGTAAGAGTACAACACCAATTTATTAATTTCTAAAATTGACAACTAAGCAGTATACATAGCTAAATATTTTGTTATTGCGAAAAAAATTACTTATAGAGTGCTCGTATGGAATCAATATTTGACTAATATATTATTACTGTTTTGGAACTATATTAAGCATATTCGATTAAGTCGGTATTATTTTTATTCATTTGTATTAGGTAGTTAGTTTTCATAATATATAACTAATAATGTAAACAGCGTAATATATCTAACAGTAAACATTTAGTACAGTTATAAAATGTTTTTATTTGTTAAACCCTGTCATAACTCGTTCAATACCGGCGTGAATGCGACGTGTGCATGTAACAACATCGTAATACAGAATAGGACTATAGGAGGGAGACCGCAGTCAGACGTTATTGCATGTTTCAAGTGTCCAACACCGATAACACCAGCTAATCAACCGAACACGAGTGATGGAATGTAAACGTTTTTGAGTGGACAATCTAAGTATCATCGATTGGAAAAACGGACTAGTACAACTTAGTCCCTGTCTGCATCTGACACTGCAGTTTTATGCTATATATTTTTCGATTGATTTTTCTTCTCTCAGGATTAAACACAATAGAGAAAATATATGGAATAGTGACAAAAGTTTATTGTAGGCAATATTATTTATTTATTTTCCAATTAATGGGCGATGCCCTTTGAATACAATGATGTATAGTATATAACTCATTTTATGTTATATTTTTATTATACATTCATACATGTATATATACATATATCTTATCTTTACTGTATATGTGTATGTCACTGAACTCCTCCTGAACGACTGGACCGATTTGAATGAATTTTTTTGTATACGTTTGAGGATACGTCCTGGATGGTTTAGAAAAAGTTAAAAAGTGATAGACCCAACCCCGGGAGGTGCTCAAACAGATATTTTGAGATTTACGATAAAAATTTTTGTTTATAGATGGTTGATATTAGTTTCAATAGTAATATTATTTATATAAAGAAAGAAATTACTATCCGTGATTTTTTTATTATTTGCACGTTCGTCTATGGGATTAAAAGTTTTTGAAGCTAAAATTTTGAACGGGAAATTCGAAGGTGAAATTGTTCTCCTATCACGAATCCTAATAATCTCTTCAGACTCACCCATTCCATTCAAAAGTCTGAAATTTCGAATTCGCTTGTCATTTGACATGACTATTAATAAGTCACAAGGTCAAACAATGTCGATTTGTGGGTTGAATCTATAAGATCCGGTCTTTTCACACAACCAATTATAAGTGACGTGTTCTCGCGTTGGAAAACCATCACGTTTATTATTTTATACTCCTCGGGAATTGACTAAAAATATTGTTCATCAACTCGAATTAAGATAAAATTAAATCAACATTATTGATTATAGCGAATTGTTTTTGAAAAATTGATGTTATTTCAAAATAAAAATAATGAAATTATTATATTATTATTATATTATATTATTTGTCGTTAATTTCGTACTTTGTTTAATATTCTAATCGCTTGAAATATCATACATGACAACGTCTGGATAATGGGATTAAAATGCATTAAAAAAATGCATTAATCCCACTGCACGTGCTAACATTAAAATTTGGCGTGCCTATTATTCTTTTACGAAGTATCAATCCACCACGATACTGCAATGGTACCAGGCTTTCAGTAAAAAAGTTGATAAAAAATATTATCGAAGCTACAATTTTAAACGGAAAGTTTAAAGGCGAAAATGTACTGTTGCCTCGCATCCCAATGATTCCAATATATATGCCTTTTGAATTCAAATGTTTGCAGTTAACATAAATATTTGAACATTACAATATTATTTACTATAATAACGCAGGATAATATGTGATTAAAGGAATACTAGTAGTAATCAATAAAATAAATAATAATGATTACATTTTTATTTTTTTTATAATTAAAAACTATATTTTTATACTAAGTATATTAGCGTATTACATAAAGAAACTTGTATGGTGTGTATTATTATATTAATTATTAATTATACATTTTTTGAATTACCTCTAAATTCATATTCATATTTTTAATTAATTTTCTTAATAATTATACGAATAAAATCACTAGAAAAAGAAGCTTATGTTTTAAATATTATATAAAATATAAGTAGCATTGAATTTTTCGATATTTCCTACAGCGAAAAAAAGTCAGTTAATCAATAAATAGTATTGAGTATTTGTTTTTTGTTGGTTTAGAAGTAGATATTGTTTCGACACATTTGTGAGCAAAGATAAATCATTCGAAACACGATTCTGAATTAGCATAAGCTTTCTATCTGAAAATACATTTTAAAATAGCGTAAGTATTGATTGATATCATCTATAAATGTATTGAACAGTCACACCAAAAAGTGCTTACCTTATGAATCATGAGATTTAAAACACCACAAGATATATTAATTAAAAAAGAAAATATTATTAATATTATTCAACAGGGCGTAACTATGAAACAATTTATATATTATCGATCTCTATACATTATTATATATCTGATATATATATTTTTTAGTACATTTGAAATTTATTAACTTTTGATCTAAAAATTTTTGATCTTTTGATCTTACATTATTATCAAGTTTTTATTTAAAGACTATAAACTTATACGATTTAATACGATTTAATATTTAAATATAAATTTTAATAATATGATAAATTTTATAGGTACTTATATGAGCTCTATAATAATAATAATAATAGACACTAACCTGATACAAACTTCACGATGTAGTCCATGAACTGAATGGTGCGTATGCATTTATATCACTATTGGCAAGAGTACTTCTGAGACACGAATTTTAACGGCAACTATGACTCAAAGAGTTGTTTCAAGTGCGAACCTTAAGTTGAAAAGGTACTAGCCATGTTCAGTGAGGTGAGGTGAATCCTTCCATGAATGTTATTGGTAATAACTAAATCCATTTTAATTATCAATATGACGTTGTAGTATTTTTTAGTATGTGTCTTGAGCAAAAATTAAAAGCGTTGACCATCATCATTATCCAACGGGTACCAAACAACTGGTTCAATGTTGCACTTATGAATAGCCAGTTTATGTTTGTAAATTTTAAAGTTAGTTCAATTCATATTTTTTTTTTTTTTTTTTTGTGAATGTTGAACGTAAAACTGGTAAAGATACAGATGAACTGATGATTTATATACATGAATGATATATAATAATATATTCGTAGACCGAGACAATAACATATACTTTAGACACAAAAACAGCTTTAGCTTAATCTATTTAACAGACAGTAGAAGAAAAATGTTTTAGATAAATAACAGGTATAAATATGACACAGTATAAATGGATTTATGATGTTTCAGCGCGAAAGCTTCAAAGAGTAAAAAGGTTGAGTTAGAAATAAAATAATAATAATTTGGTAAGTATAATTAAATTTATACTAAATATCAGTCATTCTAAAAAAATAATATGCAAATAAAATTCTATCACCACAAAATTAACTCAAGTCAACCTTAATAATAAGTTATTAATTATGAGTTTATTCTACAGCGAACTTTAGAGATAAGGCCAAGGAACTAAAATTATATAAAAAGTAGCCAATCATTTAACATTTAGGTTGTGCTTATCATATAATACAGGAGCAGCAAATCTTTTTTCAGGAATATTGTAATTTTTAAAACATATATAAATGGTTTCATTAAATTTTTTACAACCAACATATAAATAATATGTTTTTTTTTTGTACACTTTTTAATAATTTCAATTTTTTACGTGTGTCAATTTGGTCAACGTGCCACGTGTGTCATAGGTTCGCCACACCTGATGTAAGATAATAAAGAATAATTTTAAATCGGTTAACAAAGTGAAACAAAACAGTAACACCGTCGACTTTAAAATATAGTACTAGTATATTATAATTAGTAAAAACTATTTATTATAATGATATTCGTACGTTTGTACGTCGTATAAAATAATATACATAAATACAAATTATACTGTCGTATATTTGCCAAAACTTCCAAAATCATACCAAAAGATAAATCGTAAGTGAAATAATAATAAAACTAAGATATTAATATCAAACAGTATATACGTCCAACGAATGTATACAGGTAGTGTCGAGATATACGTGCAAGACAATTGTCTCACAACTGCCAAAATATTATAGTACGAACCGACGATGTCATCGTTTTTTTTGTTTTCAAGATAACAGTAAGTTTTATTTTGTATTTTTTTTTCAACACAATAATCGTGCAGCAACATAGACTCTACGAGAGGCCGCCCGGTCTCTTCGAACCACCGGCGAACAAATTACTGCAAATTTCATGTGCCAATGACGGCTTTTATCAACATGATCATGGTACGTACGTATCACACGAAATAAAAAGCTTTTCCTTCCGATTAGCAAACGACCGAAGTAACAATACGAGCTCCAACTGAGGATTGATGAATCCGCGAGAAACCACGGAACGGACAATGTTAAGTGCGTCACACTGGAAAGTGTACGGCCACTGGAGCGAAGGAGGTGCGATTGCACGGGGTCCCGCAAATTATATATTACAAACATCACTTTATCTATAAATAAAAATAATGTAGTCCCAGTAGTTCGCAAATCGCAACCCGTGTGGTCGAGTGGTTTTCTTAGGAAACGAGTTGTTATCAACGAAAATTAAGACGGTACCAATTACGCTTAGCTTTGAAGTATTGTACGCGCATGCACTTGTAAAATTGTTTATCGTCGATGACGGTTCGAAATATAGTTATAGTATATATTTAGTTATATAATAACACGAACAAACATAAATTTTTATAAACAATTAATAAATTAATAAATCAATATATATATATATATATATATATATATATATATATATATATTTATATAAATATGGAGTCCCACAAAATTCTGTACCGGGTCCTGAAAACCTTCAGGCCGGTACTGTGCTGGAGCGTGGTTTTGCGAGCACGTAACCTCAGGCGGAGATGACATTTTTTAATAACCGAGTGTCCAGAAAACAAAAATTGATTTTTTTTAAAAACTAGCGATTCGGTATGAAATTAAAAATACACTCATCAAAATTAATTATTTTACTCACACATCTAAACCAATAAAAATAACTATTTTCTATTATCATTTTTTCTGTATGAAACGAGAAATATTTTGGTGCGCGATATAAGTGCATAATACAAAAGTAAAATTAAAAAAACTAATTAAAAATAAAACCAAACAGAATACGTGGTCTTATCGAGTGGAATTGGAAAAATATTTTAGTCGTTTAGGTACTTACGTGTAGACCGGTCGATGGATGGCCGAAAACTGAAAAGTGGCCCGGATATTGTACGACGAGATCGAGAAAACGAATAAAAAAAAAAAATTCCCCAACATTTCGTCGGAGAGGTGGAAAAGTACAACGCCCGGCGTTTCCAAAGACGGTTTATAAATATTGTACACACGCATTACACGACGTGTTCAAGATTTATGCTTATCCCACCGTGATTGTAGTAGGACGGTAGGGGACTTGAAGACTGTTCGTGAATGATGGACGGACGGCAAATTGTCGCCGGGGGTAGCACACGGGAAGTTGTCGAGTGGGGGGGTGTTGATTTTACATAATATTATCGTTTTACGCGCGCAAAGGCGTGGGAAACGTACGAGAACGCGACGGCATTTTTCACCGGCCATCGTTCGGGCTTATGCAATGCACGTGTATAATAAATATGCACGCGCGGTAATCGTGATACTGTTCAATTAAGTTCGGTGACGATAACCCGAATGTTGAATAGTAATTTATATAAGAATACGACGCGTCCCGCAAAACATACACGGCGATTTTCGGTCTGAAAACGGCGACGGACGTTATTGGCCAGGTTAACCCACCGATAACGTTTTAACCGCAATCGTTATGAACATATTTTGCTAATAAAAATGCCCGCGTCACATTAATTAAGTAAAAACCATTACTGGTACTGAATCCAGAGACCACTATGTGTGTATGTGTGTGTGTGTGTGTGTGTGTGTGTGTGTGTGTGTTTCGACTACGAAAAATACGTGGCTTGGACAAATCGTTTTTTTTTTTTTTTGTAGAAATAAAAATATACGCAACGTACGCGCTACACGCAATCAGTAAAAAATTTAGAAAAACCTTGCAATTCACTTGGGAAGTTTCGCGTGCGTTGTATATATTTAGCGAGTGAATCAAAACTCGAAAGAACATTTAAATCTCTGGAGTATACTAAAATAGAAAAAAGTGTAGGCTACACTTTTTCCTAAGGTGAAAAATTATTAAACGTTAACGAAATAGTTGCAGTTCTCAGAAAAAAAAGAATAAAAACGGAAATCAATATATTTAAATAATTTTGCTTAATATAAGTGTTGAATGTTTATAGTGATATGATTATGGAAAGGAGTGCAAGTGTTTTGCAAAAACTGGATATCGAATCATAATAATGTTTGATCCTTATTCTTTATAGTTTATATTTTAGCGAAAATGAAATAAAGCATTAATGATATCGACTATCGATATTAAAAAATGTGTGTTTAAATTAACGTTCGATGCAGTAAATTATATTATTGTTGCTTATTTCATGTTTGATTAGTCTTAATTTGACAGCGAGTCGGTTTATTCCTCAAAGGTTTCATGTTATAAAATGCAATTATTGGTTATCTTGATAATTATAGTTACTATATATGGATTCCAGATATACATTTAAATAAAAATATACCTACTATTACTAACATTTTGTACAGAGCCCAATTGTATAAAACTCATGATTATTTATAATCTCAGAAAGTATCAAAATGATCATGAAATTAAATCATAATCGGAAAAACGTGAACGTATTGAGTATGCATTTGATTAAACACAATATACACTATATATAATACATAGTAAGATATAAAATATTTAACGTAGGTACAAGAAATATATTATAAGTTATAATATACATATATATGTGTGTAACTTGAAATATTTATCGTTTGTACTTGAAAATTAAAAAACCATGTTTATCTTTGAATATTTTAACAAAAGTATGAATTCGTCAACGAAAAAAAATTATAATAATATTATAACGTAGGTTAGGTAATTATATAATATATAATAATATCGAATTAGATAACATCATGACTGTTCAGAGTTAAAAAGAGACGAAATTCGTATATACTATATCCCAGCCACTATTTTTCATAAAAATTCTCGTACTACATATTTTGTACAATTATAGTCCCTCTCTACCCCATTTCCATATGACAGTTAATTATAATATAATTTTTAGTCCAATGTCAGTAATAAGTTTTAGTAATAGTTCATTTTTATTAATCAAATTGCACATTATAATTAGGTAACTACCAATTTGTTATTATTTTTGAAACGGAAAACATAATTTTGCTTGGTATAAATCTGACAATTATTTACAAATTATTTATTTTAATGTGGGATATAAATATGATTTAAAATGCAATAAATATATTTAAGTCCTTATCAGCCGTTTTGATTTAACTGTCTTCCTGAAAAACACTTTCATAGTAATATAATTTATTAGTATTTATTAGGTACACATTTATCGAATCTGCAGTGTTCACTTCCAGTTTCAGACTACACACTTTGTGTCGGGGCTGCTATTTCTTCATACACTTAAGGATCTAGTGTATTTTAATTCAAGATGTGACTTTACAAAACAAAAAAATATAAAATATCAATAATTATACAGCAGCTATATTATTAATACATAACACGATGATTGATATCGATGATTGATATTGATTGATAAACACAGGTGTTCGATATAATAAATTCTAAAATTATTACATCACGATAAAATTCGAGTACTTTTTTAAGTCTTAACTGAATCTTTTCATTTCAAGTAAATAGTCAATTACAGTTTCTTATTTTGAAAATATTATTTTTATCATAAATATATTGAAAAATAAATATAATACTTAACCTGACAAATACGAAAATTAATGTAGTATTTATATAAGTTTATTATATCAAGTGCATTTTTGTTGGTCTATATGAAATAATATTGAAAACATTTTTGGAGATTAATCGTATTGTTTGTATAAATCGTAAAATTATATAAATTCATTAGAAATACATAGTATTTTTCTTTAGTATTCATGTAGGTATACAATAATATATAATTATTAATTTATATTTTTTAAAGAATCAATAAATAATATTAAATAAGATAAATGTAGTTTTAATTAATATTGATCATGAAAAAC